GACAGAGAGCATGAGAGGGAGGAGGGTCAGAGGGAGAAGCAGACTCCCCGCCGAGCAGGGAGCCCAATGCGGGACTCGATCCCGGGACTCCAGGATCATGACCTGAGCCGAAGGCAGTCGCTTAACCAACTGAGCCACCCAGGCGCCCCATCATTTCATTGATTTTAAAATGTTTTTCTTTTATCAGAGGAACCTTTCCCCCAACTAAATAGAACCCCATTATATGCAACAATTAAAAGCAAAGCTGTCTTCTGGAACAAAATTTGGAAACTACTGTATGTCTCTTTTTTCTCCTTAAATGATATATCACCTAAGTGGATTGCTACCATGTTTTGTTTTGAACTATCTATTCCTTTACATTATCCTAAATCTACACTTTAGGACAACTAACAACCCATATAACTTGAAACTTTCTTGTATTCCATTTGACAGTAATTCAGTAGCATTTACAGTAATGTGTCTATGTGTATGTAGTTGTTACAGTGCTTCTGACATATCCTTTCACCTTTGAATTCAGACACATCTTGGGGTCCGTCACAAATTAATCCTCCACCTGCACTTGGTGGTTTGGCAGTGGTATTTGGTATAAGTTACCTAAAACAGGGCAAATTAAAAAGGTTATCTCTCAGGCTCAACTTTTAGGCTTAGGATAAAATAAATATATAATGTCAGACGATGGATACTAGACCCCAGAGTGGTAAAAGAAAGTTATAAAGCAGTGCTTCTCAAGCCTTACTGTGCATTAGAATCACCTGGGGAACTCGCTAACATGCAAACTGATGGCCTGGAGGGTGACCCAAGATTCTACTAACAAGCTCCTAGGTGATGCTGATAGACCACACTTTGAATAGCAAGGTTATAGTTGGTTGGTTGCTTTTGATTATTATTAATTTAAAAGGAGGACACATATCTAAGTCTTTTAAGTGTGGTGGAGCAAAATAATTGGAACCTGATTATCCTCTCTCTTTCTCTTTAACCTGTCATGCTATATAGTTCGTCCCACCGATTCAAATGTTAGCCCTGCTATTTCTATCCACGAGATTGGTGCTGTTGGGGCAACCAAAACAGAACGAACTGGGATAATGCAGTTAAAAAGTGAGATAAAGCAGGTAAGACATCTTGGAATATCTTGGGAGATGAGCTGGGATATTGTCATGCTCAAGAACATTCTTTTGGAATCAGACTTTGTTGGGATCATTTATTTTGTTTCATATCCTGCATTTAATCAGAGCCATTTTTTTTTTCAGGTGGAATTTCATAGACTATCTATCTCAACTGAGAGTCAGGTGAAACAACTAGGGACCCTTTAACATAATTTAACCTACCTTTAGGCATGTATATGACATGCATGAGTTCATGGCCTTTTTACAAATAAAATAACAAACCACACAGCAGCTTGTTTGATTCTCCTTCATAGCATTCATTTTACAGATAGCTTTCCTTTTCTGGACCAAACTATTTTGTTAATTTTAGGAGGGAAGTAATTTGTTTCTGATAATAAGAAAATAAAACCCTGAATTCCTCTTGTTAGAATTAACATGTAATTTTGGACTTAATTTTCTTTATGAAACTAGACTTCAATTCCTTACTTTTAAGAACAGTTACTAGAGAGAACACCAGATTAGGTGAGAGCCTTTTTAAAAATCTACTTTCAGGCATTGTCCCCAAATTAGATTTTTATCATTGTCATGATAGAGGTAGACAAAAAGTATATGGACACATAGAGGAAGAAACATCTAAATCACCCTGGAGTTGGTGGGAGTCCTCAAATATCATACTGTAGCCTCTTACTCATTTTTTTTTTTTTGGTCGCCTCTTACCCTGCAGATGAGAATAGGCAAATTTTTGTGCTCTACGATGAAATACTTAACATAAGCTTCCATAGCTTCTTTCAAAACTCTGGGAAATCATGTGATTTCAGGGTCTCTGAGTTGAGAAGGTACTGAGTTGGTCTCCCCTAGTAGCGCTTTTTATGAAAATCTTAAAACTACTCCTCCTGCCTTCAAAATTGATTTACAGTAGCTTGAAGAATTAAAGCCCATCCAGAGGAGGAGAGGCCAAATGGAAATTTTATTTGTTTGGGGTTTTGTAGGAGTCCAAACCATTTAGGACAAGAATGAAGCCAATGCTTGAAGTTCAATTTGAAGGAAACTTTTCAGATTTATATTATGCAAGGGCAAGAACTGAATGGACTAAGAAAGGGCTTTGTAATAGAAAAATGTTCACTACTACATGTTTTTTCGCAGAATATTTGGATAATCTGAACATTTTCCTATCTGAAAGGTGAAAGAACTATGCTTCATACTGAAGAGTTAAACTGATGTTGGTAAACAATCCCTGTTTTGGCCAAGGGTGATTGGTTAAACATTTTACAGTTGTTTATAGTCACACAGTATTACTTACAAGTTCATTATATGTTTAGAACTTGAAGTCCATGTTCCCAGCTAGATTACTATGATATTAAGAACTTGACCTATCCAGCTATATCATTTAATTCTTTTTTTACACATCCACTACCTATAGGACTGCAAAAGCCCAGATCATTAGGACTGTAATTTCGAGGATTGAGAGCCCTAAATGTTCATTACTTTCTAATTTCTAATTATTGATTTCCATCCTTACCTGCCTCTCTGGTATTTTGTATTGTTTAAGTCCTTTTCTCTACCACTCACCAGTACCCTTTTTTCTGATCATGGAAAAAATATTTTTAAACATAGTTTGTTGTTGGTTTTTTTCCCCTAGAGTAAGGCTATTTATCAGCTTTTTAAATAACATGCTGGCTAGGGACATGAATTGCCTGTAATTTTACTCTACTAATAACTTTTAAAAACACAAAGAATGTTTGCCTTGCCTCATCCCTTTTAAAATCTTATTTTCTCAATTTTTTTTTTTTATAGTCCAGTGGTGGTCATCCCTTGGGTATAGATTTGATGTCACCGTCTTTTCTGGTAACTGCTGTTATATTATATACCAATCACAAGTGCTTTGAGTGTGCTGTTACATAAGTCATGACATATACTGACTGACTGAAAAGATAAACAAATGAATCAAGAACTAAAATAAGTATAAATCAACTTCATATATGGGGGTAAAAATCTTTCCATTTGTTTTCCCAAAAGGGCAGGGAAGGGGGTTCAACTCCAGCCTCTTTTCCATTTCAGAAAGTAAGGGCGCCTGGGTGGCTCAGATGGTTAAGCGTCTGCCTTCGGCTCCATTTCAGAAAGTAAAATTCAATTTAATAAGTATTTGTTAAGTGTCTGTTTGTACATTTATTCTTTCGACTACTCTAATTAATTGCATGCCTACTATGTGCCAGACACTGTGCTAGATGGTATCAGCATCCCCTGGGAACTTCTTAAAAATGTAAAATCTTTGTCCCCACCCTAGGCCTACTGAATCAGAAAGGCTTGGGTGAGGCCTAGCAATCTGTGTTTTAATAAGCTTTCTAGGTGATTCTGATGCACTTTTAAGTTTGAAAACCACTGGATCGGCTATTATTGTGATTATTAATTTATCTAGTAAATATTAATTGAGTGCCAATTTCGTGCCAGGCACTGGAAATACAATAGAGAACAAAACAGATATGGTCCTTGCCCTCATGAAGGTTACATTTTAGGAAGACTGATCTCCAATTAAATTTCCTTGGTTTAAATCAATGATTCATAATATAATGGCCTATGATTTCAGATTTCTTAAATTGAAGAGATTAAGGCAACTCCAACTTTGGCCTTTTTTTTTTTTAAGATTGTATTAGCTATCATGGGTCCCTTGAATTTCCATATGAATGTTAGGGTAAGCTTGTCAATTTCTGCAAAGAATCCAGTTGGGATTATGATGAAGATTGTGTTGATTCTGCAGATAAATTTCAAGAGTATTGCCATCTTAACAATGTTAAGTCTTCTGACCTATGAACATGGGATTTCTTTCCATTCTTTAATTTCTTTCAACATGTCTTAAAGTTTTCAGAGTATATGTTTTACAACTTCTTTTGTTAAATTTATTCCTACGTATTTTATTCTCTCAGACGCTATTTTTTTTAAGACTTTATTTATTTATTTGACAGAGAGACACAGCAAGAGAGAGAACACAAGCAGGAGGGGGAGTAGGAGAGGGAGAAGCAGGATTCCTGTGGAGCAGGGAGCCCAATGAAGGGCTCCATCCCAGGACCCCGGGATCATGACCTGAGCTGAAGGCAGACACTTAACAACTGAGCCACCCAGGCGCCCCCAGATGCTATTTTAAATGAGATTGTTTTCTTAATTTCATTTTCAGATCATTGATTGCTACTATTTAGAAATACAATTGATTTTTATATTGATCTTGTACAATTTTACTGAGCTCATGTATTCTAATGCTTTTCTGTGAATTCCTTCTATATAAGATCATGTCATCTGCAGATGTAGTTTTACTTCTTCCTTTCCATTCTGGATGATTTTTATTCCTTTTCTTGCTTAATATCACTGGCTAGAACCTCTGGTACAATGCTGATCAAAAGTAGCAAGAGTAAAAAACATCTTTTTTTTGAGAGAGAGAGAGAGCGCGCGCACAAGTGGGGGAAGGGGCAGAGGGAGAGGAAGAGAGAGGATCATTAGCAGGCTCCACTCCCAGCACAAAGAATGATGCAGCGCTTGATCTCATAACCCTGAGATCATAACCTGAGCCAAAATAAAAAGTTGGATGCTTAACCAACTGAGCCACCCAGGGGCCCCTACTTCTCTTTTAATACAAGTATTTATAACATAAATTTCTCTTTAAGCACTGTTTTAGCTGCATCCCTTAAGTTTTGGTATGTTGTGTTTTCATTTATCTCAGTGTTTTCTAATTTTCCTTGTGATTCCTTTCCTAAACCACCAGTTATTTAGGGGCGTATTGTCTAATTTCCACATATTTGTAAATTTCCTAAATTTCCTTCTGTTACTAATTTCTAATTTAATTTCATTGTAATCAGAGAACATGCTTTGTCTGATTTCAGTTCTTTTAATTTGATTGAGGCTTGTGTTGAAAGCAACAAACTAAGCCATAGAACAGCTAGAAGTTTAACAGAGAGATAACCAAGTAAAGAGACAGCTAAAAACCTCCCAGATGATCAGTATTTTTATGGCTCCTTTTAAGTATCACTAGATTGCTTTCTAAAAAGGATTGTATCCATTTACATTGTCTACTGGCTTCACTGTAATCTCTTTATCTTGGATGTTACACTTATTATGTGGTTTCTAATTCTACAGTGTGTTTATTATTCTGTTCAGAGGAACAGAGATGACTTTTGCTTTATGTGCTTTCCTCTCCTTTTGTCCCAAGTCACCTGGAACACCTGTGGCTTCAAGTAGTCGGTCCTTTCCTCGTGCATATGCTCAACAGACATCTAAAGATAATCGTCAAGGTCAGTGGCAACGCCGAAGAAGGCTAGATGGAGCACTGAACAGAGTCCCAGTTGGATTTTATCAAAAAGTATGGAAAGTTTTACAGAAGGTGAGAATAACACATTGTAGACATCTCTTTATTTTCCCCCCTTGATATCCTCAGTCTCCTTGGCCGAGATATGACATGACTGTGACGTCACCACAATTATATAAATGTCATATGCTCATATGGACAAAACCTAGAAGAAGACCTAATTAACAAAGTTGATTTGTTATTTTGATACTATTTATGGTTCAGTCTCTTTCTATTATTGTTGCTATGGCTATGGTGTTGTTTATAAATTTGATTTCAAAAATCATGGCTTCTCTGCTTTTGGCCATAGTTGAGCATTGTTGGACATTATGATACATTTATCAAATTTGGCAACAAAGAGCCACTTTCTTTGTAGCTACTGTAGAGTGGAAATATTTTCTGTAGCAATGTGCTAACGCTATTGTAAAATGACTGTGGTATCTGGGGAGTTAGTGTAAGGAGCTATTACTTATATTTTTTTCTTGGATGAAAACTACTAAATAAATGCAAGATCATAACGATGCTAATGGTCCAAAGACTCTGTTGGCATGACCAATTTTTGTTTTTCTTTCAAAGGCCTAGCTTGCCAAAGACAGTTAAGGGGACATCACACCATTATGACTGTGACAGTTTTAGAGGGCCGAGAGGTCCACTGTACTCGTTCATAGGTCTCATTTATAGTCTCTTGGGTGCCACTTTCAGCTTTGTCACCCTTGGCAAGGACCTGAAGGAAATATCATCCAGGACTTCAAAACCTTTAGTTACGTTTCTCCCCTTAGCACACTGATATTCTCCCAGGGACAGAAACAGGTGATCTTTTGGAAAGCTAGAAGTTGAATCCTCAGACTACCAGCTCTGGCAATCTTCTTTTCAATGAGTACTTAAAACTTGCTTTCCTCCGTCTAACCTCTACAGACAGGTATTTTATCTGCACAGTTATGCCTGGGCTATGGCAATTCAATTTCACAGACATGTAGTAAGTGCTCTTCTGCCCCAGATACCATGGAAGGTATGTGTTCTTGTCACCAGGGAGTTTAATCCATAGTTACCTTCATAAATAGCAGCTATGATGCAAAGCGAAGATGTGTTATGATAAAGGTGCAAAACCACAAGGCCTTGAGACTACAAGAAAAGGAACATTTAAATATGACTGGGAAGATTGACTATTTTGTGGTAGAATCAAAACCTGGACTTGGAACCCTCATATAAGAGGAAAAACAAATGCCCTCTGCTTTGTCATTCCATTCCTTTTAGAGTATGAATGTAACATAATTACTTTGCGCATATGTTTGCAAGCTGGTAATTCTCTGTACAAAGACTGTTGTTTGGCATATGGAACATGAGATGGAAGTGTCTGGGGGTTGGAATCTTTGTCTGTGGCTTACTGTGTATTGTTTTGATTTACTTAACATCTAAAATAGCAAGTCATTAATTCCCATTGCTCTTTAATAATTGAGTTGATGGCGAGAGAGAAGATGAAATATCATTCATTTCTGTACTATTTCTTGAGCATCTGCTGTTGCACTAGGCAGTGTCCTAGGTGCTCACAGCGATACAGCAAAGAACAAAATAGACAACAATCTCTGTCCTTATGGAACTTACATTCTGCTAGGGAGAGACAAGCAATAAATAATAAACATACTAAATAAGTAAATTATCTAGAATGTTAAAAGATGACAAGTACTATGGAAAAAAGTACAGCAGGGTGAGGGCATCATCAAGGGTGCTGACGGGGGGACGCTTCACTAGAAAATGGAGTAATACATGTCTGCAAATGCAGCTTTTGAGTTTTCTTCAGCCTAAACATCTTTCTGAAAGCTAATTTGTGATGAGTCTGGGACCTAGCATGATATCCTCTCGGGTAGTCTCTGAATCTTTGGGGCTAGTCTCTCGCAGAAGGTAGACCTTCTCTATCCCTTCCACTCCTTTAAATAGAGGGTAAATCTTGCATGTCCTGTAGTCCACCCCTGATTCTTGCCACATAGTAATCACAACCCCTTGGCAAGGACACTTGGGCTGCAGGGCCTTCCACTGGCCTGCGATTACTCAGCATCTACCTGATGGAACACACTCAGAAATACTAAGTGTCTTCTTACAGGCCCCCAGTTGTCAGCATATCCTTAGTGACAACATGTTTTTGCTGTTTTGCAGTGTCACGGACTCTCTGTGGAAGGTTTTGTGCTTCCTTCTTCAACCACTAGAGAGGTGAGATTCTGTGTCTTTCTCATTTGTGTGATTGATAGTTTGTGTAGCTCAAGTATTTCAGGGATCATTTTTCAAAGTAATGGTTCTATGACTCCAAATCAACTAAAAATGAAGTGCATTGGAGGAAAGGAGAGAATGTTTTTTAAAAACAGAATGGGAACATGAGAGAGCAATTATGTGTTATATTAATTATATAAGCACAGCCTCGTTTAGTGGTTGACTAAATTAGGCTGGTTTATGTGAGTGTGGCCAGAGTTGGAGAGGGCAGTCAAGATAGAGATCTAAGAATGTCTCTCATTTCCCCATCCTTCTCATCCCAACCTTTCTCTTTTTTTTTTAATTTTTATTTATTTGACTGAGAGAGAGACAGCAAGAGAGGGAACACAAGCAGGGGGATTGGGAGAGGGAGCAGGGAACCTAATGCGGGGCTCGATCCCAGGATCGTGACCTGAGCCAAAGGCAGATGCTTAACAGCTGAGCCACCCAGGCGCCCACCCCCCACCTTTCTCTAGTAGGATGCTTGTAGACTTTTAGATGTTGAACTAGTGGTCCTTAGCTCGAACTATGTGTCACAGCAACCTGAGCACCCATCTCCAACTTAGTGGATTAAAATCTCTAGGGATGGGGCCTGAGCATCTGTACTTAAAAAAAAAAATCTTTAGAATGAGTCTGATAGATAACCATGGTTGGAAAACATTGCCGTGAACCACACACATATATTATCGGGTACCTTTATATTTCCCTTCTCGCCCAATCACATAGAAATGATAAAGAATCGCCTTTATACAAAACCAACAAAGGAACTAGAATTAGCAAATTAGGAATTGTAAGATTGGATAGTGGGAAAATTCTCAAAAACACTGGGGTTGTTGCAGATGATGGCTGGATGGGCTGGTACAGAAAGCTAATGCTATGCTTCAGGGCTTTACTCTTGCCTAGAGGCCTCTTCTCTAATAAAGAACACTGTGACCTCTATTTGTCCTTTCTCTGCTTTTAAGCATGATCAGAATGTTAGTATAATTAATAACAATGCATACCTGAATGGTACCTTTACGAGTCTCCAAAGTACCTTCACACAGGTATGTGAGACAGCCAAGGAAGGGATCATAGTTCCCGGTTTACAGATAAGGAAACAAATTTAGGGAAACAAACTGTTCAAGGTCATAGAACTAGTAACTGGCAAAGACAGGACTTGAACCCTGGTCTTTAAAGTCCAAATCTCCAGTGCCACTGTAAAGTATATACTCAATACTGTTTTACCCAAACTTATCCCTCAATCCCCTTCACCCTAAAATAACTTTTTATTTCTTCCTGCCCATTTTAATCTAACAGGATATAACTGTTTTACATAATTCTAGTCATCATGTAAATACGACTTTAAGTTCCACTTAGATTTTTCTTTTATGCACAGTCGTCATATTTATTCTCTCAAATGACTCTATAAAAACTCATGAAGTTGCTGTACCATGATGTGCCATTATTTACACAACCATTCCCGTGTTCAGATTACTTTTAGTTTTACACTTGTGACTAATGCTGCTATAAACACTCTTGCACATGGGGCTTTTTTTTTCCCCCTTTCTTGAATTATTAACTTAGGACGAACTCTCAGAAATAGGATCGTGGGTTAGAGGGCACTGACACTTTTATGACTCTTGTTATGCGCCACCAGACTGCCTTCCAAAAAGATTGAACCAATTTATACTCACTCAGGTACTTTGAAGGAGACTGAGCAGCACTCTTGGCTACATTGCTTTTACTGCCTTTCAGAATAGGTGATTGATGCCTCCCCAGTGATGAGTGCTTAGGAATTGATTTTCTTTTTCTCTATCACAGATGACTCCAGGCGAGATTAAATTCTCTGTTCATGTGGAGTCTGTCCTGAATCGCGTACCTCAGCCCGAGTACCGCCAGCTTCTGGTTGAAGCCATCCTTGTCCTCACTATGATGGCAGATATTGAAATTCATAGCATAGGAAGCATCATTGCCGTGGAAAAAATAGTGCATATTGCTAATGACTTGTTCCTTCAAGAACAGGTAGGCAAACGGCAACCCGGTTGTTTTCTCGAAGGGGAATGTCCGACACTAACCTGACTGCACTCAGAGAGCTTCATGAAGCCAAGGTCACTCTTTTGCGCCCTCTTCCTCAGCTCTTTTCTGGTCCCCCTTTGTAGTGAGTGGCTCTGAGCTCTGATGGCAAAAGAAGTAGGCGGTGGGATGACCTCCGTGTTTCACCAAGTGTTTTACGATTGTATTAGATGGTAAAGTTGCCTGGAACTCAGGAGGCTTTTATGCTTTTCATCATATTTCATTCTTCTTATCACATGACTTTGTGTAGCAAGAAGAACTTAATAAGAGACTATTGGATAGCATATCCTTTTTTGGACTTTTAAGGAAAAGAGAAGGTTTGATTTTACCTTGGTTTGGTTTTGTTTTTGCATTTGCTACTTACCTATAGGAAAATATTAAAGTGAAACTTTTAATTCTACATATAAAAAATTTTTCTCAACATACCTTCTTCCAGGAAATTAACCACATTTAATAAATGCAAACTACCTATTGAAAGCTTTCCAAATGTTTCCCAGATGAAGAGTAGGAATACTAAGGTGAAGGGCATGCACTCTTGTCAATAGGAAAATCTCCAAAATATATAATAGGTGTTTCATTCTATTTGGCATGGTGGGGGAATGCAAAAGAAATCACAATTATTTTGATTTTCCAGGACAGTCCTAATTTTAAATATTCTGGATTGCTCTCTTTTCCCCAGAAAAGATACTCTTCCATGTATCGGATAATGTGATCCCTTTTAGGCGTAGGCTCTAGCTTGGAAAGCTTACAGTCTATTTTAATTAAGTTGACTTAGAAAGAAATCAGGATCAAATGCAAGATAAAATAATACGAGCTGAAATCAGTGGTACTAGAAAGATTCAGACCAAAGTCCCTCCGGGGTGATTTGTTGGTATTAACATTTGACCCTTAACAGACACAACTTGTTTAATTAACTGTTATCTTTAACTTTCAAAACTTCTACACAATCAGTTCTTTACAAATAATGCCATAGGATTTGGGGGAATCTAGTGAAAAATGCATGTACAGAAATCCATATTCAATAGTTTGTGCCAAACTCTGATCCCTTCCTACCTACACAACCTAAGACCCAAGTAGTTGGCAATGGGGAGGAGGCTCAGAGTTATCCTAATCAGGACTTTAATCAGTAGATTAGTAATCTTGCCTTTCCCCTGTGTTCTCCCACCCTTAAAAACCAAACAGAAAACCCTCGGTGCAGATGATACCATGTTGGCCAAGGATCCCGCGTCTGGCATCTGTACTCTTCTGTATGACAGTGCACCCAGTGGCAGGTTTGGCACCATGACCTACCTCTCCAAGGCAGCCGCCACCTACGTGCAGGAGTTCCTGCCCCACAGCATCTGCGCCATGCAGTGAGGCCTTTGGGCCCTGGCTGCTGGGAGCCTTTTGACAGCTCGTTCCTGCCTCGGTTGATTGTGCATGAGACTGAAACGTGTTGGCCTGATCACTCCTCCCCTGCCCCTTTCCACCCCATCCCACCCAAGAGGAGTGAACGTTTTCGACAAACTAATTGCTTTAGAAGTGAACCCTGGCCTGGGGGAACATGCTCCCCACCAGGCACTCCATCGTAGGCCTTAATTCTTTCATAGTTCCTGAGAGTTTGCATGTGTTTTTATTCTCTAGGTCTGTTACAAATGTAGTTTTCTAACTACTGTTTGGAGAGCAGGTATTAATAATAACTTACTACTAAAGTTTGGTTTTTCTCATGTGTAGTTTCATTGTGTGAATGAGTGATGGGTGCTTTGGGACATTCTTTCAAGTGGGTAAACCCTAAATTGCTGGATTTTTATACTGCCATAACTTGGAAGTGTCTATTCTAAGTGCCTTTTCTGGGGAAAAGAGAGTACCAGGTCATGGTTTCCTTCTTTACTCACATGTTGCCCCCCACAGAGTGATGAACTCCTTTCTGTATAGAATTATCATCCCTGTTCTTGCCTTCTCTGTATCCACATACATAATTGCTACTCTCCCTTTGGGGAAATATCAAAAAATGCTAGTGCAGCATCTATACGTAAGAATTTCTGTATTAATAACTGCAATCACATTGTATGAAGATGGCTGGTACTCCGAGATGTATTTGTAGCAGAAAGTGCAGAATAACCCAGGAGTCAGGAGCCCGATTCCCAAAACGAAGGGAGAAGATGCCTGTGTGGTGTCTTACACTTGGGGAGCAGAGAGGGAATCAGAGGTAGGTTAGTGCCCTGAAGAGAGCCTTGTGCACCCAACTTTTGCCTCTGAAGAGTGGGCCGACACACAGCACGCACGGCAATTGAAGTCTCTGTCTTTGGCAAACAGGAATCCAGCAGTCTAGTCTACAGCTGCCTTCCCAAGCGGTCCTTCCTTGGTGGTCCTTACCTGTCTCTGTCTCACTCGCCTACTCACTTTCTCCAGCATCCAACCCCGGACCCACCAACTCACTGCCCTCCCATCTGTTCTTAAACTCCTCACTTGCATTTTCACTCCCTGATTCTAGTGAGTGTTCGTAGCTATGTGTATTTTGATATCCGTGGGCATCTATCTGTTTCTTGTAAATGCCTGCATTTGGGTGCGTGTCTAAGCATACATGGGAATTTTTCTGAATGTAAATAGTTTCGATGTTTCTGTATATCTATCTGTATCTACATTGGGCAGGCTATGTAAATATGTGTTTGTTACGCGGATGGTGGTGACCATGGCCCCCCAGGTCTGACACCCCGAGGGTAATGGAGGAATCTTTAAGTTCTTTTCCCTAGTCCCATGTTAAGGTAGCCTTGTTTGAAGAACACTTCTCCTAACTTTCTGCCTTAGTTCAGGCTGCTGTAACAAAAGACTGTAGAATGGGTGGCTTAGACCACAAACATTTATTTTTCACGTTTCTGGAGGTTGAGAGGTCCAAGATCGCCAGCAGATTCAGTCCCTGGTGAGGACTGGCTTCCTGGTTTGCAAATGGCCACCTTCCTGCTGTGTCGTCACATGGCCGAGAAAGGGGGGGAGGGCGGGCACTCTCGTCTCTTCTCCTTCTCAATAAGTGCACTAATTTTGTCATGGGAACTCTTCCCTCGTGACTTCATCTAATCCTTGTTACCTTCCAAAGGCCCCCACCTCCAAATACCATCACGTTGGGGATTAAGGCTTCAAGGTATGAATTTCGGAGGGAAACACGCATCCAGTCCATAGCACTCTCCTTCCCCTTATTTATGTGTAAAGACTCTACTCATTTCCCTGTTTGCACTCAGGTAACTCCCTACTTCAATCCTGTCCTTTCTCTCAGATTTTTCAGATTTCTCTCCAAGAATGGGGATGGGGATGGGGAGCTCTCTCAACCATTCTCATAGAACCAGTGACAATCTTTTGAGTACATGAATAAGTGAGCATAGGAAGTAGGGTGATAGAAAACAGGCGAGTGGAAGTGAGAGAGGATGGCCGACCTTTTTAGTATGTCTCTTAGAGCAAATGGAAACACACAGTAAGTAGCTTTCGGATCGTGTGATTTTTCTGGTCGCTGATAGAGATAATTTACAACTTGTGCTGAAACTGTTGGTCTCCACACTGGCTGCAAGCCTACCCCAACCACAAGAAGTACGTCTGGAGTGGCACGGGCGGGGGGGGTGGGGGAACCGCCACTCTCTGCCACGCTAAGCTAAGTTGCCTCAACTAATACTGATGGCTGCAGTTCCCCGGGCTTTACGAAGTTGTCCATCACTATGCTCTCCATACAGCACGGCTTCACATTTAAAGCAACTTTTTGGAAAACTTGATTTGTATTTTCTTCCTTTTAAGTACGTGATACTAAAAGACACCTTGGACCTTCTTTTTTTTTTTAAGCACTTATGTCTTGAAAATAGAATTAAAAATTGGAATGTCCAATTAAATCACGTCTCATGCCAGTGTGCAAAACTTTATGTGTGTCTTTGTGATTGGAGTTTCTTTGGTGGCTCTATTTTACCTACTCTATTTAATTGCACAGTACAGCCAAAGCTCACTGAGTGGAATAATATTAGTATAGAAATTCTATATTATATGTTATATAATATGTTAGATAATGTATGTAAAGAAATGCACTTTTATCTTTCAAACACATACCCACTCAAACCAGGCTCACTAAATTAAAATGGGCTTATTGACATCTTTAGGGAACCTGTTCTTTTTTTTTTCCAAATTTTTATTTAAATTAGTTAACATACAGTGCAATATTGGTTTCAGGAGTAGAATTAAGTGATTCATCACTTACATATAACACCCAGAGCTCATCGTAACAATAGGGGACCTGTTCTGATGAATGAATAAGACCGATTTTGACTCAGAATTACAACTGTGTGCAAGTGGTGCTTCTGTGCCACTGGAGGGTACTTAAAAACAATTTGGTCTCCGAAGTACTATAAATATTTAGCAGAAACTTGTTTATGCTATGTATTAGCCTTTGTGTAACAAGTGAGGGTTTATGCAGTAAGGATGAACCAGTCTCCTGTCCCATCCTGGTTACTTAGGTTTTACTACCCTGTGGGAATTTTATGCAACTGGTGGGGCAAAAGTTGTTGTTCTTAGCCACCTCTTAGCCACCTCTACTGTCGTCCATTGTACTTACCAAACACCTAGTACCTACACTAATGCAGTGGAGATAAATACAGTGTTGTCCACATTCAGTCTTCATTTCCTGTTAAACTTGAGTGACCTTAGGTCTTGGTTTGCCCAGGACATGCTCCATTTATGCCTGTTGTCCTAGCATAATTATTAATAGCACTCTTTGTCACTCTCAAAAGTGTCCTAGTTTGGATGATATGGTTGCCCTATATTTAGCAGAAGTCTGATTTCTTTTAAGGCTAGGCCTCAAAGCCAAGGACCTGTTCTCAAACCACGAACAATACTCTTGCAGTAGCGGTACGGGGGTAAGGAAACAGTGAGGGGAGACTTTCCCCCAAATTAAGGAACACTTGGCGTATTGTCTCTTAGATGATGAGCAATATTGGAGTGCTTACCAAGTGCCAGACGTTGTTATAAGGTAGCTGGCATGAACCATGTTATCCTGTCTTCACAATTACCATGTGAGATTAGAGACTGTTGTCATCCCCATCTGACAGATGAGGGAACTGAGGTGCTGGGCACTTAAGCAAATGGCTCAAGATCAAAAAGCTCGTAAGTGGTAGAGCTGGGATTTGAGCCCAAGCAGTTTGACTCTAGAGTTCACATTCTCAACAATGACACTCTCCAAGGAAAAGACATTAAAACAAGGGTCAGTCTGTTAAGTACAGTTAAGGCATCAGTGGGCAGATTGTATGGGGCGGTGGGCAACGGGCAGAAATGCACAAAGAAGGTAGCCAGAGGAGTAGTGCCTTTTTAATTGTTTGCTTCCCCTTCTGCCTTTTTCTGCCAGCAAGTGAAGACAGGAGAGATCACCAAAAGAAGTGGCATAGCCCAGCCTGACCTTGCTGGTTCAGAAACTACTTTTAGCAAAATAACGGTTGAAGAGAGTGAGTCAAGGAATTTACCCAGGGTCACCACACCAGTAAACTTTGGAGCCAAGATCCAACCTCCTTCCTTTGAACTTAAAGTCCTCCAACTGCAAATCCAGTGCTTTGGGAAGGGTTTTCTTCCCAATTTAAGGACCATATGGGGATTAAGCATGTGGAAAATTGAGGTTAGGGACTTGTGGCATGGCTTGTGCTCTGTTTTGCTCATGAACAAGGGTCCAGCCACCCTGTGAGATTTGCTGCAGGAATATGCTGCCAATTTCAGAGCCTCGTTGCAACAATTTATCTTTCTCTGTACTTGAATCATCTTGCCACATTGTGTGCCAAATGAGGATACTGTTTCCAGTTTAGAAGTGTGTTGAAGTGTTCAGCTACCTGTTGCTAGATCTGAAAGAACACATAGAACAATCCATTTTCATGTCATCTTATTTTGGTCCGGATTTTAGGGCATCAGTTAGCCACCCTGTATCCTGCCCTCTTCCTCTCACTGCCTATCCATGAAAGCCCAGGACAAATCTCATTTCCTCTTTATATGGCCAGCCTGTCATGCTCTCACCTTTCAGGCAACTCCTACAGCCCCACAGACTCCTTCCCCTCTGTCTGTAAATATGTGCATTTCTCTTATCCTAAAAACAATCATTCATGAGCTCTGCATCCCCTGATTTACTAACTCCTTCCTTCCACAGTTAAATTTCTTCAAAGAGGAAGCTACACTTGACAGTGTTGACTTCACTCCTTAACCCCTTGCAGTCTGGCTTCCTCCCCTGCCTTGTGGTGGTTTTTTGTTTTTGTTTTTGTTTCTTAGAACATCAGTGAGTTCCTAATGGCAATGACATTGTTACTACCTCTCCCTTCTTGTAACCCACATCATCCCTCCATGTCTGTGAAACTGTACTACACTTGTTCTCACCCAACTACTTCTTTTTTGTCTCCTTTCTGGCATCTTTTTCTCCTCCTAACCTCCACAAACAGGCAGTCCCAAAAGTTACATTCTTCTTCCTAGCTCAAAAGATTCTCACCATGAGGTAGGGGAGCCTTTAAAAAGTGACATGACCTGATTTACTTTTTGTTTCCAAGTTCATTCTGGTGGCTGCAAAAAGACTGGATTGTAGTTCTGCAAGAGTACAAGTAGAAACCTGTTAGATATTGCAGAAAGTCTGGGTGAGAGATGACAGTCCAGGGCGGGGGTAGTGGCTTCTGTGTTCCTGTGGCCCATACGCTAGTTTGAACCATCATTACTTTTTATGTGGACCATTGCAACACTGACTGCCTCTAGTCTTTCAATAGCTAATCTTTTCTACCCACCACTGCTGTGGAAATCTTTTTTTTTTTTTTTTTTAAGATTTCTGTTTAAATGTCTCCTCGTTTTCCACAGAGTGAAGTCTGTTCTCTTTAGTCTGGCATTCAAAACCCTTCATGATCCAGTCCCTTCAGCTAAACTTGACTAGAAATGGTCTCCTTTTTGTTTTTGCTTATGCTGTGGATTCTAGTCAGCGTGCCCTCCCCTGGCTCTCATCCCCACCAAGTAAAATCCTGTCCATGCACTAAGGCCATCTCAAATGCCACTGAATAGGAATCCTAGTTGCCATTTATTAAATACTTAATGTTTATTTATTAAGTAATCTAAGCATCCTACATTCATTATCTGACTCTGCTGCATTGCATGCAGTTTCTTATGTATTTGTCTCATCTGTACAAGAATGCAAATTCCTTGAAAGCAGAGATCAGATTGCAATTCATCTTGAGAACTGAATCCTTAGCCATAGTGTATATTTAGTTGATGTCAGATAAATGTTTGATGAATGACTGAATGATCACAGAACTTTGAACTAGTTGCTATGGGAAGATATAAAAGAAGCATAAGGGCTTACATTCTAGTTAAAGAACACATCACAGGGGGAAAATATTTCCAGAATGCTAAGTATTCAGGGAATACTAAATGGAGGGTTGAGCAAAGTTAGATTTACCACAAAGTCATCCTGGAGGAATGACGTTTACATAGTAAAGGGAATGTTCAAAGGCTTCAGTGTCAGGCAGACCCGGTTTTGAATTCCTGCTTTTCTGCTTAGTAAGTGTGTGACGTTGAATAGTTATTTCCTTTCTCTAAACTGCCTCTGTAAAATGGACATATTACAACATCTTTCATAGGACTTTTGCAAAGGTGAAATGAGATAAAATATCCAAGTGCATATCACAATGCTCAATAAATGCTTAAAGAGTCCAAAAGGCAAGTTAGATTTTAAAGGAGGTAAGAATATTGGATTGTCTGAGGGGTGTTCGAAGGTCACTTCAGGTTAGATGTGAGAGGTGGAGGCTTGGGCATTGGCCAGCTTGCATCATAGCATAGGGGCTGCCAGGAACCCGGAAATACTGGTGATAATTCTAAAACCGCTTCAGGATATTGTTTAATGTAGACCCTCACACTAAACCTAAAATATGTCAGTAACGCTTGTATAGTTACAGAAGCAAAAGGAGGGAAGGAAGGGGAGCTGCAGTTTCCAAACATCACTGAAAGTATCTGCTTACCCCCCTTACTCCACATGAATTTTCAAAGAGTAATTTGACATCTTTGCTTGATTGGAATCTACAAAGCAATTTCCAGAGTACCGGCCAGCCTCTTAGGAAAGTGCTATCGGCTTTGCCAGAGTAAATTATTGAGATTGTTAACTCTTACATGGACATGGATTGTTAATGATGAAAAGGAATAAACTAAAGTTGCGGTACAGAATTTACTGTGCAAACTTTTCAAACCCTTTACACCATTAATTAGTTCCGCAAAAAAAAAAAAAAAAAAAAGCCTTTCTAATGTAGCTGGGTGGTGCTGGGATCTTGGTGGCCACGTTGTGTCTATTTTTAAATATTTATATGGCTGTATTTGCAGATTGAAACAATTCATAAAGAGTTGAGGCTGTTTTTTTTTTTTTTTTTTTAAGCGCTAAAACTCACATTCGCGGCTATTTTAGTAATTAGCCCCGGCTCTTCCGCTACCCGAACCCCTCAAAACTACATCTCCCAGCATGCTCTAAAGCTGGTCTGACCTCATCTCAAATGGCCCCGTAGGGCAACAAGGATGGTTAGTTTTGACCGTGCTTATTTGTGCCATAAAATATTGATCCTAATTGGCAGCTATTTGGGCTTTTATATTTGCCGACCTCCCGTTTTTGAGCCGTGGTCACTAAATGAAGAGGGTCTGGCCTGGGAAGGCCCATGCATTCCTTCAATTGGATGGGGAGCTGGGACAGTGTCTCTGGCGATAGCGAGAATAGGAGGGAATGTTGACCAGGGAGCACCGCTGCGGCCGTTCAGAGGAGCAGGAACCGGAGCCCGGGTTGAGTCCGAAAAAAGCCGGATCCAGACGGTGGCTCCGGAACGGCTGCAATTGGAAGATGGAGGAGCCGGAGGAACCGGCGGACAGTGGGCAGTCGCTGCCTCCAGTTTACATCTACAGTCCCGAGTATGTCAGCATGTGCGACTCCCTGGCCAAAGTCCCCAAACGGGTAAGAGAGCTGGGGAAAAAAGACCGTGGGCTTCTGGGGTGGGGGTGGGGGCCGTTGGACCGGAGGGCATTAGGACGGGGCAGAGGATTGGGCTGGGGAAAATCAGCAGAAATTTGGGCAGCTGCACCAGGTGATGGAAGAAGTGTTCCCTTATAGTTTCTGAGAGCGCAGCATTTATCTGCGGGGCGTCCAATGCACCGAAGGGGGTAGGGGTGCGGGGGAGGGGATGGCACTGAGGCGTTGGTGTCTCTACTACAAGGGATCCCTGAAGTGGGGAAGACGCTGCAGGAGAGAAATGTTCCATCACCTCCGTAAGGCCCGGTAGCTTTCGCCTTAGCAATTTGTCTAAAGTGCATTGTAACTGTTAAGTAAAAAGAGGGGAGTTAAAAGTTACTTTCTTTGTTCAGGATGATGAAGTTGATGGTATTTCTCTGAATTAAACATTTAAGAGACATTTTTTTCTGCCTTTTTTTTTTCTTGCTTTTCTTTTCTTTTTTTGTTGATGTTTTTAGGCCAGTATGGTACATTCTTTGATTGAAGCATATGCACTGCATAAGCAAATGAGGTAAGTTGTCTTTCATGAACAGAGCCCTGAACCTAGGTGTTCTAGCCTTAATATCCTACTTCACAGTGGAGCAAATTAGAAAGAGAATGGTCCTTTTTTTTTAAAAAAAGTGGGGTTTTTTTTGTTATTCAATGTTTGTAATGTCTGTAATCTAGTGAAAGTTCTTGAAGAATTAAGAAAACCTGAAAAAAGTACCTGAAGCAGTTAAGATCCATTAGAAATAAGACTCTATTGCTGGAAGGGAAAGTATTCTAGGGATAGGTGCTTTGTGGAGATTTTGAGGAGAGTTACATTAGGGTACTAAAACCCACCTGATCGGGGAAAAAAAATTGGTGTTTGGCTGGGAGGTGTTCTGGGGTTTGTGTGTATTTGTTTGCAAGCCAGATGTGAGGGTGTGTGTTCAAGTTCAGACTTTTAGACACCCCATCACCACCACCAGACTTTTACGAGTAAGCCTGGAGACAAGTCAAGACCAAAGCAAAACTCCTGCAACTAGGCCAGAACTCAGCACTGAGTTAAGTGCTTCTTTAAGAAAAAAAAAATGAACTTGCTGTTAATCTTTGCAGAGTAAATCTTATAACCCTGTCTTGTAGGATTGTTTATGACATTGTCTGGCCAAATAGGTGAGTGTCTGCACGGGCTTTTGTGGTATGATTCATTTATCTCCCAGAAGGTAGTGTAATAGGATTTCAAATTTTATCCTTATTATCAAAATCATTTATTGAGTACCTTATTTTTTAACCCATATGTTTGTTAGACATAAGAACTACATGCCTTCCATTTATTTAACCTTTCTCTTTTTTTAAGATTTTATTTATTTATTTGTCAGAGAGCGAGCACAAGCAGGGGGAGTGGCAGGCAGAGGGAGAAGCAGGCTCCCCGCTGAGCAAGGAGCCCGATGTGGGCTTCGATCCCAGGACCCCGGGACCAAGACCGGAGCTGAAGGCAGATGCTTAATTGACTGAGCCACCCAGGCATCCCTCAGTTATTTAACTTTTCAAAAGTTACTTTAAGACAAACAAGAAATCAGTGCAAAGCAAAACTGTCCCATTCGCTTGCTATTAAGCAGAGAGGCTTTCCATGTTTGTTAAACAAGAGGAAGGGTGCTAGAAAAGGGACCCATTAGGGCTGGGAAACATGGTCCAAGAAACTGTAACATTTTTATTTTAATGTGCAGATTTGTCACCTCTGAGGGTGTAGCCATATTTTCTTGAAGGAGAAGCAGGAATCCTTGGCTCTTGACCATATACATGATTTTTTTGAGGCTGAGCTACAGGATTTTTCTGGCTTGCTTGGTGATATGGTAGCCTGTATAGTCATATTAATTCATGAAAAACTCATGGCTGAGTTCCCATTCAGCAAACATAAAAAGCCACTGCTGCCTCCCTGTGGCCTAGGTCATTGCTCTTCCAACTTGAATGTACATATGAATCACCTTGTTAAATTCCGATTCTGGAGATCTGAGGTGGGGCCAAAGTTCTGCAAGTCTAACGAGCTCCTAGGTGCCACTGCTGCTGGTCCATAGACTACCCTTTGAGTGGCAGTGGCAGAGTCGGGGAGAGGAAATGGGGAGTAGGCAGCTGGAGGTTAGACGTGGTAAGTCCTGGCGTTAACATCACCCTGTATTCTCTCAGTTGCTTCTTTTTTTTTTTTTTTTTAAAGATTTATTTATTTTTTTGAGAGAGGGAGAGGGGGGGAGGGGCAGAAGGAGAGAATCTCAAACAGACTCCACACTGAGCACAGAGCCCGACACAAGGCTCTGTCTCTCGACCCTGAGATCATGACCTGAGCCGAAACCAAGAGTTGGACGCTCAACCGCCACCGAGGTGCCCCTCTCTGTCACTTCTATTTGTCACTTGTTGTGAGGAGTTGATTAGGAGCTTCTGAGTGAAGCCCAGTTCCAACCAGTTTGCCCCTTCTCTTTTTCCTCTCAGAGGTAGGTGTGAGGGACCAAATAGAGAAACTTTTATGTTTTGAGTTGCCATTTTTTTATCCTTTAGTATTAATAATAATGATAGTTACCCACAAAGCATTTTCATATGTTATCATTTAATCTTCACATATGTCCCATTAGATCTCCCTACTTTACAGATGAGAAAACAACTGTACAGAACAGTCAACTTACCTGAGGTTATAGAGCTGTTAAGTACAGAGTTAAAAAGAGGTGCCCAGTTCTCTGACTCCAAATTCAAAATTCATGAAAATACAGTTGCCTACTGAAGTTAAAATATAGAGTTAAGTCTTGATTTCGGCTCAGGTCATAATGTCAGGGTCTGGGCATGGAGCCTGCTTAAGATTCTCTCTCTCCCTCTGCCCCTCCCCCCTCTCTCCCTCCCTCTCTAAAAAAAAATAAGTAAAAAAACAATAAAGTAAAAATATAGCTGAAAGGATTCTATGTACCAATTAGGAACTGATGCAATTGAAAATATCTCTGCCTACTAGTTTGTCATGCAAGTTGTAACTCACAGAGTGAAGTTTGTCCAGTATCTGATTATTTAACTTAAATATATATTTAACTTAAATATAAACTTTTTTTTTTATTTACCTACCTATAAACTCAAGGGCTTCGAAGATCGGTCCTCTCACCCCTTATTAATGGAATCATTATATCGATGTGAGGAAGTGAAGACTAGATTGCACAGTAGAGGAACAGAACGTGTTCATTATTTGAGCCCACTGGAACTGGAAGCTGGGAGTTGTATTTTCTGCTCAGACTGCTTTCCCCTGCTTCCAGTTTCTGGCATACTCTGGGTCTGACTCACTCACCTCTCTTTGTTCTCTGTTATTATTAGGATAGTTAAGCCCAAAGTAGCCTCCATGGAGGAGATGGCCACCTTCCACACTGATGCCTATCTGCAGCATCTCCAGAAGGTCAGCCAAGAAGGAGATGACGATCATCCAGACTCCGTAGAATATGGGCTAGGTAAAGTCATTACCGGGCAGTGATGGGAGGTAGACAACCTCCATCTGTAAATTGTAACCACTCATTTCATAACTTGCATGATGGTCTTTAGTATTTGTTAATTAAGAGCTAATGTGTTAACCACAATCTTAATCTCTTAGTTTAGATACACATATCTCGCTTGCTGAGCAAGCCGTATGAGTTGAGCAAAACTGAATGATGGATCAGATGGGGGAAAATCTTTTAGTTGTCAAGGCCCTAATAGTAGTGCCCAGATTGGGTATGGCTCTATGTATGCTGATTTAACCACCTCGTGACCTTATATTTTAACTTGAGTACGTATTTATGTTCCGGCTGTTTTCAACCCTGCTTCATGTTGAACAGCTGTATTTTTTAAAAAACTGTAGGTGGCCGATAGGATAGTCTAGAGAAACAGCATGGTTTGGTAGAACTCTCGTCTGGGAGATGGGTGAGTCAAGGGACATGGGTCCCAGACCTGGCTCTGTGTGACCATAGATAAGACATATCACCTCTCAGGACTCGGTTTCTCCATCTGTAGGATGTGACTAGCTAATCTCGAAGGTTTAGCCTCTCTAGTTCCAACACTTCAAAAAATTCTTTCCCCAACATTGGAGATGTTTATCTCTCATTTGGAAGCTGACGTTAGCACAGTCACTTTTTGGTAAGATATGCTGTTGTCGCACCTCAAACTATTCCTCCCAGTAGGGTTCTAGACCCAGTTCCAATGTGTGGAGGTGGGGCTTTCCTCCCACACCACCCAGCAATGCTCAGGACACCAGGTGGGTGTCCTACAATTCAACTCAATTCTGACACTATCTACCTGGCCATAGCATCAGGTCCCACAGGTTAAGGGCTCAGTCCCACAAGACTGCTCTGCGTGTCACATGCCAGTCACAAGCCCAGCTTGCTACCTGTGCTTCTGACTGACTGGCTATAAATCAGAAGGTTCCCACAAACACCCTCTTTTGGGTTGAATTTGCTAGAGCAGGGCACAGAACTCAGGAAACCCATTTACTCACTAGATTACCGGTTCATTATAAAAGGATATAACCCAGAACTGCCAGATGGAAGAGATGCATAGGGCAAGGGATGACCAAAGGGTGTGGTGTGGGGCTTCCACGCACTCTCCAGGCATGCCCCTCTCCCCACATCTCCACACGTTCACCAAACCAGAAGCTCTCCCAGCCCGCCTTTTGGGTTTTTATGGGAGGCTTCATTACATAGGCATGCCTGATTAAATCATTGGCCAATGGATGATTGAGCTCAATCTCCAGCCCCTCCCCCTCACAGGAGGAGGTCAGGGGGGTAGGACTGGTAGTTCCAACCTTCCAATCACCTGGTTTGCTCCACTGCTCACCGCCCGCCCCCACCCCCACCCTGAGGTGTGATCCGCAAGTCACCTCATTAACACAACAAAGACACCTTTACTGCTCTCCTCACTTGGGAAATCCCAACAGCTTTAGGAGCGCTGTGTCAGACACGGGGATGAAGATCACGGGACGAATTTCTTATTATGGGAACCACCGTATCACACCTGCTCTTTCTGCAGTTCATCTTGTAACAAGCTCTTCCGATGTTTTTGCCCGAAGGTTATGACTGCCCTGCCACGGAAGGGATATTTGACTACGCAGCAGCTGTAGGAGGGGCCACAATCACAGCTGCGCAGTGCCTGATTGACGGAACGTGCAAAGTAGCAATTAACTGGTCTGGAGGGTGGCATCATGCAAAGAAGTAAGAAAATGACCTTTCTGCTTTCTGCCTCTTTCCTTGAGTCAGTTTCTCAGTTATGCAAACGCTGATGCTTATTGTATGGGCATTCCTTGAGAGATTTGTGTATGAATATAGCCCTTTTCCCAGGCACTCTGAAGAGATACAAGTGAAATAGAAGAAGGTGACACACAGTATAATGGAAAGCACTCTATCGAAAGTCAGGATACCTGGGCCCCATGCCTAGTTTTCCTGCAAACTGGGCTAAGTGACTTGGAAAGATTAACCTCTCAAGGCCCCAGTTTCTTCATCAGGAAAATGGGCAGGGCGAAGGATATAACTAGGCAGTCTCTACATTCCTTTTCCAGCTTTTTGGAAATGCCCCTGTCTTCAAGGGACTTATGCTCTAGAGACACTCACAGAACTAGAATAATTAGGGAGCAACATCAGTTTGGGTACCAAGTGAATATACGTATGAGCTGACGAGATTGTAGTGCTATGCAGAAATTAATCATGGAAGTCTTGGAAGAGGTGCGATTTAGAGCTGGTTCTTGAAAGAAGTGCCAAACAGGTTTCCAAATAGGTGGGAAATTGATGAGAATAGAATTAAAACAAAAGGCTGACGAATCAAGGAAGCTTTTGCCACCATCTCTAAGGCAAGTGGCAACCGACTGAGAGAATTAACTGTCACTCTAAGGAGAAAGGGCTTGTGAAACAGCTGTTCTCAGGTGCTACTTGGAGCTAGAGAAGTCCTTTTGGAGTTTCATGTTGACATTTCAAACAGCTCTACCCTGTGTGTGACAAGGACCGCTGGGACAGCATTTGTCATCTTGCTTGATATGCTTGCTTGCTATGTGGGTAGTAAGTACTTAATACATACTGGAGGAGAAGAATTTTTAAAACTTTGAATTGCTCTATGTGCTGTGTGAGTGAAATGAAGCAGTGGTGGTAGTAACTGGTGATGCATCTTTCACACGCCAATTGTTCATACTGTTGGCCATGACCTTGATCCTCCTTGGTGCTCTTGAGTCCAGAGAAAATGTGGCGTTTTTTTTTTTTTTTCTTCAGACTAAAACCTTGAGCACAGTTTCAGCATATGCAGGTTAAGATGATAACATGGAATTCTTTTCATCAAATCGACAGATTTCATGACCAAGGAAGTCCTTGAGAAAGTTTACTACTAGAATCTACTACTGAGGTGATGGAGCAGAGAGAACCAGTGTTTAATAATATGTTTTACATGGCCTTAGAAACAAAGAGAAACCACCTACCTTTTGTTAGCTCTTGCTCTATTAAAAAATTTCAAAATAAAGACAGTGATCCCTAGGACAAAAAAAAAAAGAAAAATGACCCTCTCTCCTTTAAACTACAGATGAAGGTGTGGGGGGAACCAAGCCTCTCTGAACCAAGAACCTCTTTTCCCTCTTGTGCTTAGCAAGTTGAGAAGAAAAGTAGTGTGGTTTCATGGAAAATGCCTGATCCTGTTAATCAGATCTGCTTTCTGCATGTGGCACTGGAGGATCTTATATATTTAAATTCACTGCTTAAGGCCTGCTAGGGCCTGGGTCAGTTTCCAGTGGAATACCGGGATACTTGCCACTTCTTCTCACTGTTTGGCTTTGAAATGAAGCATGCTCTATCTAGAGCAAATCATGGCTGCTTCTGGGCTGCATGTAGGTAGGTATTATCTTAACTGTTTCAGACAGCTTTCAGCTGATCCTACCTGGAAACAGACACTGTGGTGGATATAAATTGCATAGAGTCTCTAGGGATCTCCCCAATTCAGGTCCAAATTCTAGGGGGTTCTTGGCACCTCTAGAACATCTCTGCAGGTGGACTCCAGGCATTTAGCCCACAAACTGACATCTAGCCAGCATTATCTTTCATAAGCGCAGTATTTGTTTAAACGTTTCCATCCCCAAATATGTGTATAGATTCATACATGCCATTTAGTCATTCAGCATGCACTGATTAAGCACCTACTGAATGTCAAGCATATGTTTATCATCACTAATAAGCAGAGAGATAAAAATTGAAGCATGGTATCTTTCTCCCCTACCAATGTTGAAAAAAAAAATCTTCAAAATATCCTCATGCTGGCATGATTACAGTGAAATTGGTATACTCTTTGAAAACTTTGGAGCCAAGTGTTGAAAGAGTGGGGAAAACATTCATACCTGTATGACCCGGTAATACTGTTCTTAGCAGTCTATTCTAAGGAAACGAACCAATCCGGCCTTCACAGAATTCATATCTTAGAGGTAAGACAGCAAATAATTGCATTTGGAAACTAAAGAACAGTAATTTTCAAAGAAAATTCTTCAAAAGAAGAATGATGAGTGACTAATGCTATTAGATATTAAACATACAAAACTAGAATAATGAAAACACTGGTACCCCTGGTATAAGAGGAGACAGATGATATTATACTACACTCCGCAAAGAGACTGTTATGTATAAGAATTCAGTCTATTATAAAAGATGCTTTGCAAGTGGATGGGAGTGGAAAGGATTCGTCAGTAAATGGTGTTGTGACACCTGGTAGCATTTATACCCTCATCTCTTGTAATAAACGAAAAAAAAAAAGTGGCAGCTAGATTGAAGAGTTCAGTGTAAAAAAGCAAATTTAAAAAAAACTAGAATGAATGGATATTTATCAAGCTTCTCAAGGAGAATAGTTTCCCTAAGCTTAGGAAGTAATAGAGAAAGAAAAAAAAAAAAAACTCCCAAAGGAAAAGCTCAACGAATTTAGGTGCATAAAATTTTAAAACCAAAATCACTTTTAAAAGTTTTGTGGCCCTTTAAAACACAACATCTAAATACAGACTAAAAAGGCATATTTGACATAAATATGACAAAGTGTGGTAGGTTTGTGTTTTCTAAGGCACTCATATGGTATGATGTGTAAGAAGAAGTATGGGCAAAGAATGTGAAGAGACAATTTGCAAAGGTGTTTAAGTACCACTGGAAAACATGGGGCAATGTTCATTGCTACTAATCAAAGAAATGCAAATTTTAACAACTAGGTAGCCCCTTTTTAAGCCAGAATTGGAAAACATGGTACTCAGTTGGCTAGTAATAGTGCGGTTTTTTTCAACCCCTTAAGAAAGTAACTTGGTAGCTAAGGTATATTAATGCCCTTTGTCTACTTTAGGGATAGGATTAATGCCCTTTAATCCTACTACTGAGAATGCTTCCTGAGACCATGGGAAAAATAGGGAAAAAACTATTTGCATGGAGGTGCTTATCAGTGTTCTTTATGAAACAAAAAAATTAGAAATAACATGAATATGTAGTAATAAGGAAATGGTCAATCTGCTCCATAGAATATTATGTATTATTTTAAATGATGATTATGAAGACTATAGGGCATTTCAGAAAAAAGACTTGTGTTAATAAAAAGGCAGGTTTTAAAACTGTATGTACACCACAATTACAACTTTATAGAATGCACACATATAAAAAAAAAAAGCAGTGGGAATGATAATAGTGGCTATTTCAGGGTGGCAGCATTATTGATGATTTTTTTAAAAGTGTAATGCAAAATTTCTGTAATGAGATTTTATTACTTTTGCAGCTAAAATATTACCAAAATGAAAAGAGGCAAAAAAAAAAAAAAAGTTGCAGCAAATACTACAAAGGGTTAAAATCTTTATTCTAGGGGTGCCTGGGTGGCTCAGTCAATTAAGCTTCCAACTCTTGATTTCAGCTCAGGTCGTGATCTCAGGGTTGTGGGATCCAGCCACGCATCAGGCTCTGTGCTGAGCGTGGAGCCTGCTTGGGATTCTCCTTCTCCCACTCCCTCTGCCCCCCCTTTCCCCCTCTCCCTCTCTCCCTCTCTCCTTCTCTCCTTCTCTCCCTCTCCCTACCTCTCTCCCTCTCCCCTCAAAAAAAATAATAAAATAAAATCTTTATTTTAATTGATTTTTTAAAACACTGAAATTTAGATAAGTGGGCAAAAGACATGAACAGTTCATAAAAGAGGAAACAAATAGTAAATAAATGTGAGTAAATATTTAGCATCACTAAAATTACAGAAAGGGAGATTGAAACATAATATACACCTGCATGTATGTTTTTCCCTCCCAAATTTGAGCTGAAAAAAGAAAGATTCTTAACTCATATATCTATTACTCTCGGTAATCTATTCTAAGGAAATAAACCAATCCAAAATATTGGAGAACCGTGTGTATGAAGATGGTAATTTCTCTCTTAATTATAATAGCCAAAAAAAGGGGGGGGAAGGAGGGAGACCTAAATATTCAACAACAGCAGAATGTTCAGGATGTTTAGGTAGTATACTGTAACATATCCACTTTATGGGCTATTATGTAACCATTAACAAGTGGTGGTTAGGATGACTGTAACAAAAAAAAATTCATATTGTATAATGTTGGCTTTGTTCTTAAAGCGCAGGTAGCTACAACATTGCATATTCGCTCTGATTAGTCATGTTAAAAAATAGATGCTTACGAAAAACTCTTAGAAGGAGGGGCGCCTGGGTGGCTCAGCCGTTAAGTGTCTGCCTTCGGCTCAGGTCATGATCTCAGGGTCCTGGGATCGAGCCCCGCCTCGGGCTCCCTGCTCGGCGGGAAGCCTGCTTCTCCCTCTCCCACTCCCCCTGCTTGTATTCCCTCTCTCGCTGTGTCTCTCTCTGTCAGATAAATAAATAAAATCTTTAAAAAACAAAAAAGAAAAACTCTTAGAAGGAAATACAACAAAATGATACCCGTGACTTTGTGAAGCTGACAATACCATGAGGGATAAAGAGGTATGCACGCACACACACATATACATGTATCTTTCTTCTGTTTCCTATATTTTTCCTGTGTTTTCTCTAATGTGTATTAGTTTTATCAGTAGAACTTTTTATGGTAAAAACTGCTTGGAACAAGGTGAGAAGCAGTTACAATACACAGTATGGTCAGTGTATATGCTGCAGTTATGTGCAAGGTAGTGGAGTGTACAGAAGGAGGAGAAGGAGTTTGCCTTCCCATCGGTGGGGATAGAGAATTCCAAGCAGA